ACACACACACACACACACACAGACAACCCCGTGACAATATGCGTTTTGTACTGCTGTTACACAGCAGGAAACGCATAAAAATGCACTTTAGGTTGCTGTGGGCCCAATATTTCCTTCTGATTACTATTTAAGCAGACAAAAATCAGGAAGGAAACTAGCAAGCATTCTAGGACCCATGATTTTTCCTTGAATCTCAAACACGGAACCATTCAAAATAACGTGGATTTGTTTAGGTATTCCAACCGAACTGTATGCAAAAAATATTCGATTAAGCATAAATTTCTGCATGGCACATTTAACCAAAATAACTGGTCAGCACACGGCCTGCCCGTACGAAGATGCGTTTTTTGCGTAGTTCCCCACAGTTTTTGTCGCTACTGGCACCAGTTTTTTCGGCAAAAGCTTCTAGCTGAACAAATTAAGACTGGCCGCCAGGACTGGCAGGAAATCACCCCCTTAAAATTTCAGCCTTCTAGCACTTCTGGTTCCCGAGTCAGCAGCTCACCCATAAAAAAACTTGGCGGGTTCTTACGTGGGTACCACGCGAGTAATACCGCCCATTTTGGGAACAAGGGCCCCTACGTGCATGTAGATTAAGCCCCCAAAGTTTCAGCCCCGTAGCTTTTGTAAGTCTCGAGATGAAAAATCGACACAGAGGCCCTGCGCGCGCACACACACATCACACAGACAACCTCTCGTTAATATACATTTTCCGCACTGCATAGCTGCAAAAAACGCATAATAACTGAGTTGGCAGCAAAAAGCCAAAAGCTAAAGTTTACCAATTCGTATGAAATAGAGCGGGGGAAGAGGATCGAATACGGGCACGAACATCTTCACCAGATGCTCATCCTCACAAAATTTCTGTTTTAAGAGGAAATATTCGTGGTGCAAAATCAGCTCCCCATCGACATCTTCCACAAAAATCCAAAATCCTTCGGCTGTGCCTGAAAACAAAAAAAAATAGTCATTTCTTGGATTTACAGCATCTACGCTTGAAAATCTAAAAATGCGCCAAAACAAAGCGGAATTAAGTTGAAAATACAATCTGGAAATGTACCATGGACGCGTTCCTCCCACTGAAAATCCGGTGTGATTGTGAGTTCAATTCGCAACGTTGAACGTGTAATTGGCTGGATCAGTGCTGTCATGTCCAATTTCGGTAGCTGTAAAAGCGCCAAAACTTAAGACAGGGAAG